ACTCAGTCCAAAATCACATAAGCCTTTCGGCACAATAATATAAAAATATTCAGCCCAAACTTCATTTAAAAATATTACTTTAGTTTCTACTTTTAGAAAATGACTGAGTGAAACAGTGTTAAATACCAGGACTGAGTTCAGTATCTAGAAATATGGTAAGAAACCAGTAAAATAATCCCTGAAGGATTCAAGAAGTTGGCACGAAGCCCAATTATGACAATTAATCCATTTTTATAAGGATATCACGAAACTACAACCAATTAGGTAGTAATTTTTATTAAGCGGGACGGACCAATTCATAATCCCCGACGGTGCTCTACCCCACGCCCGTTATCCGGCGTGCATGTCACCTCAACATAGCACTACAATGTGCAAATTCGGGGTTTCAAACCCTCAACACAGCATTTACATTTATTACTAACCTCAAGCTGGCCAAAGTCCTAGCATGCTATGCCCTTGCCTTTCGAATTCACCTCCTCGTGCGTCGAATCTGACCAAAACCACAACGAATACGTCACAATATGCCAATGGAACAATACCCAATCGAAAACAATCGAAAAACATTGAAATTCCCGAAATTAGCAAAAACCCGAGCCCCGGGCTCACTTCTCGAAAATCAGTAAATTTACCATCAACGGATTCCTTATCTCGCCACGAGTCTATACATATAAAGAACTCCAAAATCGGAGTCCAAATGACCCCTCAAATTCCCATTTTTGTTCTCTTAAGTTTCAAGCCCTAAACCACCATTTTTTACCTTAATTCCTTGAGTTTTCAGTCTAATTTCATGTATTTGCATGATAAATTCGTGTTCTAAGTCCAAGAATGCTTACCTGATCGAAGTCCTTGAATTTCCTCTTCAAAATCGCCCAAAAACTCCCCAAGTCCGAAGTTTAAATATGAACTCCTTCAAAATTCGCAAAGGAAATAAAAACCTCTCCTGATCAGTTGTTTCCGCATCTGCGGCACCTTTGTCGCTTCTGCGACTACCGCATCTGCGGTAATTATCCGCTTCTGCGGAATCTCCTAAAAAATCCAAAACCGCTTTTGCGGTCACTCTTCCGCATCTGCGGCTCCGCAGATGCGGCTCCTCCAACCGCTTCTGCGGAAACAACACTCAGGCCCGAAATTCGCTTTTGCGATCCTCCCTTCGCTTCTGCGTGATCGCACCTGCGGTCCCACAACCGCAGGTGCGAAAATACCAGATACCAGCAGACCTGCAATCTCCAAACTTCAATTTTCATCCCGTTAGCCATCCGAAATCACCCCGAGGCCCCCGGGACCTCAACCAAAAACACAAACATGATCAAATACCTTATTCAAACTTGCTCCAATCATCAAAACATCTCAAACAACACTAAAACCATCATTTCTCATCTAATTCAAGCCTATGTTCTTCCAAAACTTCCGAAACACGCATTCGATCAAAAACCCAACCAAAACACCTCCGAATGATCTGAAATTTTGCGCACACATCCCAGATCAGCTAACGAAGCTACTGCAACTCTCGGAATTCCATTCCGACCCCCGGATCAAAATCTCACCTATCAACCGGAATTCGCCAAAATCCTAACTTTGCCAATTCAAGCCTAATTCTACTCCGGATCTCCAAAATCACTTTTGATCACACTCCTAAGTCACAAATCATCCCCCGAAGCTAACCAAATCATCGGAATTCATATTCGAGCCCTCTAACACAAAAGTCAACGTCCGGTTGACTTTTCCAAAACAAACCTTCCTTAAAGAGGCTAAGTGACTCATTTCCTTCTAGAACTAATCCAAATCAACTCTAACACATCTAATACTGATACTGAAGCATAAAGAAATAGAAAATGGGGGAAACGGGCGGTAACACACATGACGAGGGGTTGGATCGTCACATTACCTTTGTTATTTTCAATTCCTTCCTATATGTAATACTCTTTTTTTATATGCTATTTCTGTATGATTTTACCTATAACATAAATTATGTTATATTTTTTTTATAAATTATAATAAACTTTATAAAATTATAAATAGAATAGTCCTTTTATAGAAATATCACAAAATCTATATACTTTTACGATTTTTATTCTAATATAATACATATTAAGTATATATTTAGTTATATTTTTTCGGTGGTAAATAAATAATCTTTTAGGAGTTTGTTATAAAATCTTCCTTTACTTTTAATAATTATAAAATTTTATATTACCTGCATTGAGTATATGTTATAAGGTTCTCATTATTTTTTATTCTCAATTTTTGAAATTTGTTGCTATTATTATCGATACGAGCAAATTATTTTATTTTAAAATTTATTCTACTCATCCTTATCATTATTCAACGCTATTAAATTTTATGCTTGATTAATATTTTTATTTTTAAAATAAAATTTAGTTATTATATGGGTAAGTTCATAGGATAGATATTATGAAACACAAAAATATCATAATACTAAATTGTAAAAAATAAAAAATAGAAAGAGATAAATATTGATTAATATAGAGGTTAAAATAGGTGCTAGAGAGGTGCTAGGGATATCGAAGGGTTTTTCTGGCAGGCACCAAGGCGACTGGTGGTAGAATGACGTAGTCCAAGGTAAAGTGGAGGCAAAGAAGGCAGCGTACGCGAAGTTGGCAGGGAGCACAAGCGTGGAGGAGAGGAGAGCGAATAGAGAGAGGTACAAGGTGGCGAGGAAAGAGGCAAAGCTGGCGGTCGCGGAGGCTAAGAATGCAGCGTTTGGTCGTCTATACGAGGAACTGGGGAAGAAAGGCGGGGACAGGAAGTTGTTTCGGCTGGCTAAAGCGAGGGAGAGGAAGGCCCGGGATCTGGACCAAGTAAGGTGCATCAAAGACGAGGATGGTAGAGTATTGATGGGAGAGTCCCATATTAAGCAGAGATGGCAGACGTACTTCCATGGTCTTCTAAACGAGGAGAGGGACCGAGATATAGCGCTAGGGGATTTGGGGCAGTCGGAGAGTCTCCAAGATTTTAGGTATTGCAGGCGCATTAAGGCGGAGGAGGTCGTGGGGGCTTTGCGTAAGATAAGTAGGTAGAGCAACCGGGCCAAACAAAATTCCGATTGAGTTTTGGAAGTGTGTGGGTAGAGCGGGATTGGAGTGGCTGACTGGGTCGTTCAATGTTAAAGAGGATGCCGGAGGAGTGGAGGTCGAGTACAGTGGTACCGTTGTTCAAGAACAAAGGTGATATCCAGTGTTGTAATAATTACAGGGGTATCAAGTTACTTAGCCATACCATGAAAGTCTGGGAGAGGGTGGTGGAGGCGAGGGTGAGGAAGACGACATCTATATCCGACAATCAGTTTGGGTTCATGCCGGGTCGTTCTACTACCGAAGCTATCCACCTTATTAGGAGGATGGTGGAACAGTACTGGGATAAGAAGAAGGATCTGCACATGGTGTTTATTGACTTGGAGAAAGCATATGACAAGGTCCCTAGGGAGGTGCTCTGGAGATGTCTTGAGGCAAAAGGCGTGCCGGTAGCCTACACAAGAGCAATCGATGACATGTATGATGGAGCTAAGACCAAGGTTAGGACCGTGGGAGGCGATTCAGAGCCTTTCCCGGTTGTTATGGGATTACACCAAGGCTCTGCGCTTAGCCCGTTCTTATTTGCCTTGGTGATGGATGCACTGACACACCATATTCAAGGGGATGTGCCATGATGTATGTTATTTGTTGATGACATAGTTCTAATTGATGAGACGAGGGTCGGTGTTAACGACAGGTTGGAGGTTTGGAGACAAACCCTCGAGTCTTAGGGTTTCAAATTGAGCAGGTCTAGCGCTTAGTCGAGGGAAGTAGGCAGGGACGTGAGGCATGGATCACAGGTCATCCCCAAGAGAGATAGCTTCAAGTACCTTGGGTCGATGATTCAGGGGGACGGAGAGATCGACGAGGACGTCACTCACCGTATAGGAGCGGGCTGGATGAATAGAGGCTTGCATTTGGAGTCTTGTGTGACACAAAAGTGCCACCGATACTCAAAGGTAAGTTTTATTGAGCTGTGGTTAGACCGGCCATGTTGTATGGGGCAGATTATTGGCCGGTTAAGCACTCCCATATCCAGAGGATGAAGGTCGCAGAGATGAGGATGCTGAGGTGGATGTGTCGGCACACTAGGATAGGCAAGATTAGGAATGAAGATATTCGGAAAAAGGTGGGCATGGCAACTGTGGATGACAAGATGCGGGAAGCGAGGCTCAGATAGTTCGGACACGTGCGGAGGAGAAGCCTTGATGCTCCGGTGAGGAGGTGTGAGAGGTTGGGCATGGTGGGTACGAGAAGAGGTAGAGGGAGGCCTAAGAAGTATTGGGGAGAGGTGATCAGGCAGGACATGATACGACTGCAGATTTCCGAGGACATGGCCCTTGGTAGAAAGGTCTGGAGGTCAAGTATTAGGGTTGTAGGTTAGAGCTTTCCTTACTTCATACCCGGGGTGAGACGGGATTGAATTAGGGTTGATCTTAGACGACTTGTAGTCTATGTTGAGTCCACACTATCCTTGCTGTTTATCTTAGCCCCGGGCCTTTAGTGGTTACTGTTATTGCATGTCATTTATCTTTTGGTTGTTATGCTTCTGTTACTATTACGGTTTCTACTGGAGTTACTAATGAATTGTCTTTTCTTGTTTTTTATTTCCGTCTTTCTGAGCCGAGGGTCTATCGGAAACAGCCTCTCTGCCCTATCGGGGTAGGGGTAAGGTCTGCGTACACATTAATCTCCCCAGACCCCACTTTGTGGGATTTTACTGGGTAGTTGTTGTATAGAGTTTAAAATAGGCATCAAAAAGCCAATTGAGAAATGAGGGGGAGAATGATAATTGTTCAAAGTAGAGGAGGGAGTTTATTTTTTAAAGTAAAATTTGAGGGTATAAATGACATTCACCCATATATAACTAGTATTTCTTTAATACTTAAATTAACTGTGATTTAATTAAAAAAAATTAGTTGCAGGTAAAATTTCACCTCCATTATACAGGTAGTTTATTTATGTCTGGGAACCTGCCCAAAATCCCAAAAAAATGAAGACAAAACGAGAAACACGTTTGGGATAAAGTGGCAGAAACCGCGTCAAAGTCATCGACGGGCATATCATAATTCTCCCTCGTACACACACATCAAACAATTGCCGAATCTTTTCATAAACCTCGTTGATTGTTGTCTGAATTCCTCTCAGATAGGGCTTTTGGTTCGTATTTCCTACCTGCAATTCCTTTAGCTGATTTTCTAATTGGAGCTTAATGAATTATCCTTTATTTATGTATGCAATAATCTTTTTCAATATATGATTAGAGATCTAATCTTTGAGTTTATTATTCATGTGGGACATCTTTATTTACGCTGAAGAATCTCTATTTGTACTTATTTTCTTTAAAATAGATAAAATTATGAAAAGGGTCTTGAAATTTAGGTCAAGGAGCTTACAGTTTACTTGAATGGGGTTAAGTTTATATCTTTAGCTTTTATGCTTATTTTCTTGAAAATAGATAAAAATAGGGAAATGGCTCTTAAATTTTTGGTCAAGCAGCTTGTAGTTTACTTGAATGGGGTAAAATTTACATCTTTAGCTTTATTTGTGCTTATCTTCTTGAAAATAGATAAACATAGGTAAATGTGTATTAAGTTTTAGGTCAAGCAGGTTATAGTTTTTACTTGAAATTTGTAGGAACTCTTTTTTTTGGTTTTGTCTGAAAGGGGATTGTAGCCAACGGCGGAGCCAGAAATTTTAACAAGGGGAGTTCCAAAATTCGAACTTGGGACTTCAAGCAATTTTTGAACTACCTTTTCTACTACAGGGGGATTCAAATATATATATATATATATATATATATATATATATATATATATATATATATATATATATATATATATATATATATATATATATATATATATTGCCCT